TTCAAGATGGCCTTGAACTCACTATATAGCCCAGATTGGCCTTGAACTCATGGCAATCCTCTTGCCTGAGCCTCTGAGTGCTGGGATTACAGGCATGCACCACCACTCTCAGCTCAACAACTACTTTCAGTCACTACTCCTCAGTCTTAGAACACATTAAAAAATCCTTTCTTTTAATTTGCATTTCTCAAATGACCAATGATATTGAACATTTTTTCATATACTTATTTTCCATTTGTATTTCTTCATCTGAGAAGTGTAAATAAGATCCAAAAGGTACAATAGATACAGTGAAAGGGAGAGAAACTGTTCAAAAGGAAAGAACAACTGGGATGGGGGAAAAGAGTAAAGAAGGAAGGGAAAAAAAGGTATGTACAAATACACAAGATAGCTAAGATAATTGTACTACTAATTTCTATTAGTTCGTTGAAAGGAACCATTAGTGCTTATATTGTTTGATCAATTTTGCATGCCTATATCTGGTAATCTGAGCAACTACTTTGAAGATAACAATATGCAATATAATAACCATTGTTAATTTGCTATCATCTTATTTTCAAATTCTGTATCATTTTTATTTTTTTCTCTCTTTAAAATAAAAAAAAATTAAAAAACCTTTTTTGTTTAGTATTCTTAAAAAAAGGAATTTAATAATGCTAGCTCTAAAGACTATGAGCAATTCAACTTAGAAAACAATGAACTAAACCAATAAGCAAAGGGAACTCTTCAAAGCAAATCAAGGAATGCCGAACAGTAGGAAACATAACAACATGTTAATTAAAGTGCAGGCAAGTTAACTCCCCTCAACTATAACACACTCATTTAATATAATCTAAGTGTGTCCTTTAGATACTTCTTACAGAAAGCTAAAGAAGTGACCTTGAAAGCCCAGAGGTGACTTTCTCAACTCAGATTTAGACTGAAAATTTCCCATTGATCTCATTACCTCTATCCCTGTCCTGTAAAAGGGCAGAGAAGCAGAGTCTATCTGTAATTCTTTGCCTTCTGTCTTCAATTATCACCTGTGAGCTCAAGGTCTACCACAACCAACAAAAAGCATAAAACATACTTTCACATTTGAAGGCAGCACTCGTCACTTTAACCAATGTACAGAATCAACTGAGGTGTCATACAAGGATGGAATGGTGGATAAAGAAGAATGTATACTATGCAACAACAGAATTTTATTCACCCATAAAAAGAATTAAATCTTGTCATTTGTGCCAACACAGATGGAGCTAGAGGTCACTCATAATGTTAAGTGAAATAAATCTGGCACAGGAGGAGAAATACCACATATTTTCACTTATATGTGGAACCCCAAAAAGTTGACCTCATAGAAGTACACAAAAGAGTAGCTACTAGAGACTAGGAAGGGTAGGAGGAAGAGAGGATAGAGAGAGGTTGGATATAATAGGTACCGAAGTACAGTTAGACAGGAGGAATAAGTTCCAGTGCTCTATAGCACAGCAGGGTGACTACAGTCTACTATAATTTATTATATAATTTAAACTAATTATAAGAGAGGAGTCTGAAAGTTCTTGGCAGAAAGAAACGCTAATTACCCTATTTGACCATTATACATTGTATACATGTGAATTATCATATTGTACTTCACAAAATATGTGCAATTATTATGTGTCAATAAAAAAAGAATAGCACAAAGCAATATGCAAGTTCACAGTTCTCTTTTCTCTTGATGTCTTTTCTAGACTTCATTTCTTGTCCCTAGCTGAATTTGAAGATGTCAGGTATTTTAACCTTAGACCCAATCTACCTCTTCCTCTCTTATTTCTCTGGGATTGACCATTAGCGCCTGTCCTCTTGGCTAAATTAATCCTGGGTACTGAGTTCCTGAGATTAGCCTAGATCTATATTGGTGGGCTGGAGTAGCCTCAAACTTTTCTAGCTCCCTCACAAAACTGGATTGTAAATCTGACTCCATTATTCAGATATAACAGAAACAAATGGTAGGAACTAAGTTGCCTAATATTAAAATGTAGTCTCAGTGCTATCACTAGCATGATGAACTAAGCAGGCAATCAGGATATAGGTATTACATGTTCACCGGTATTATTTCATATCTTTTAGTTCTATAAAACCTGACCATTTGCAGACAGTTTTCTAAAGAGATGCACAGGTCAGGAAACAGAAAGGAAGTGAAAACTCAAAGACATTAACTTTTCATTTTGTCATAGACAACTACAGAGTATACGTGCACATATTTCAGGGTCCCAAACAGCAGCTTTACAACTTAACAACTGGTTATTTCTTATTAAAAATAATACTAAGAGAAACGGGTGAAAGAGGTTCTCAGAGTAACAAAAAAAAGGTAAAAATCTAGTAGGATGTTAATCTTAAGCCACATTCATTGTCTTTTCTCTTCCGTGTAGGGCTACAACTTGAAAAGCAAGGCGCCCACAGCAACTTAATATGTTATACAGCTGTCTTGTTTAATACATCTCTCTTACATGGGGCAGGCTAAATAGTTATAACGCTGTTCTTCTATATACAGTGACATAGATCCTAGTCATTGAAGGTATGTTAAGTCTTAATAAATACTGCTTTTTCTTTTTAACATGCTGTCTTAAAAGTCATATTCACTGACTATTTTTACTCACAGGAACAAATTCTGAGGAAAGAAAAGATGTTTAGGAAGATTTATATAGAGGTGAAATAAGGCGTTTTGCTCTACCACACCCTTCCATCATCACATTACTATTTATATTAGTGAAAAATAATCCAAATATCAAACACAGGGGAATAGTTACATTATAGACCATTCAGAAAATGGAAGAATATATCACTGTTAATACCATGGAAAGCACTCAAAATATAATGGCATGTGGAACAGACAAAAAATTACATAGGAGGATGCTGGACATGGTGGCACGTGCCTGTAATCCAATCCCGGCACTCAGGAAGCTGAAGCAAGAGGATTGGCGCAAGTTCCAGGTCAACCTAGGCTATATGAATTTCAGGCCAGCATGAACTACATAGTGAGACCCTGTCTCAAAAATACAAATAAACAAACAAAACTTACATAGGATGAGATTCACTCACTCTGAGGTTTAATGTGTAGGAAAAAGGCAAATGTTAGATATTTTATTTAAGGTTACTGTGTCAATTAATTGTGAAACTGACTGGGTTAAGAGATTCTTGGACAGGTGGTAGTTGGACTGTGAGGACACTATAATCGTCAGTGAATTAATCCACTGATGTACATAGCTGAATGGTGGTTAGAAGGCAGGGCCCTGCTAGAGGAGGTGGGTCACTGAAGGTGCGCCTTAGGAGAACATATTTCTCACTGGTACTCTCCCCTTGTGCTCTGCTTCCTGGCTACCATGAAATAAGGAGTTTTGCTGTACCACACCCTTCCACCATTATGTTTCCTAGAGCCTGGTGATCATCAACTGAAGCCCCTGAAACTGTAACCCCCAAAAACCTCTCCTCTTCATTTGTATATGTCAGAAATTTTGTATCAACAATGGGAAAGCTCACCAATATAGAAAATTTGTACCAAGAAGTGGAGTTGTTGCTGTGAATATACCTACCCATGCAGTTCAGAAGTCTATGGAACTGATCTGTGGGCAGAATTTGGAATAATTTGGAGAATCAGAATGGACAAAGTTAAGAATGCTGTAAGTAAAGTTTGATGGATAAATCCAGTAAAAGCTCAAAAGACCAGAATAGTGATAGGAATGTAGATGTTGTAAAGGCTAGGCTCATGAGATTTCAGATAGGAATGAGGACTCTACTAGGAATTAGAGTAGAGGCCGTGCATGTTGTGCTATGGCAAAAAATTTTGTCTACATTTTATCCATGTCCTAAGACTTCAGATGAGGATAAATTTTGTCTACATTTTATCCATGTCTTCTGACTGCAGATGAGGTTGAATTTAAAGGTGGTTGACTAATTGATCTGGCAATGGAAATTTTAAGGAAGTCTAATGCTCAGGTGGTGGCCTAGCAACATTTACTGTGAGAATCAGGAGCAAAAAGCACAGGAGAAAAATTTGAAAAATTTAAATTTTGGTCCAAGAAGAACGAAGTGTAAAGTTAAGACCAAAAGAGGTATGGTTGTGGAAGAGAATAGCACCATCAAAAAGAAATCAAGTATTTTCAGCCAGGACAAAAAAAAAATGCCTTGAGAGTATCTCAGTAATTAGCAAAACCTCACTCACCACAGACTCAAGGGTACAAAGTATAAATCTTCCTGTGAGAAGAGAACGTAGGTGCCCTGCTAAAGAAGAGTCACCAAGGGAACTGGTTCCCTGGGATTCATTTCACTGTGCTCAGTCATCTAGGCAATTCAGAATTTATTCCAAGGGGTCTTGGCTACTGCTTGACCTCGTGGCAGACCTTGATATTCTCTATGTGTTCTTATCTTTGCAACCACACAGAATGCAAGAGTTGTGGGTTCATGAAAGCTTCCACCCAGATGTCAAAGTGAAGGCCTGAGAGTCCAGGCAATGTGCCCTTGAGAGGGAAAGGCATGAAGCTGAAGGTATAGTGGAGATTCCAGGAAGCTGGAGATGCCAGGAATAAGAAACTTCTGCCAAGAAAAGCTGCAAGCAGCCAGCAGAGCCTGTCTGAGAAGCTGTGTGGAATGCAACAGGTAAGGCCATAGGGATGGGGCCACCCATGGCCTCTGGAACTCATATCTTGCCATGTAGTTACAGTATTTAATGTTTGCCATGCTTGATTTTGGTCTTGCTTTGGTCCTATTCTTTTCTATCCCCTATTCCTCCCTTTTGAAATAGGAATGTTGAGCTTGTACTTTTGAGAATATGGAATTTGCTACTTGATTTTATGGGGTTTCACAGCTCTATTACACAGTTTCTTGTTGCTAGAACAAAATCCCCAACACCTGCAACTTAAAGAAAGGAAGGTTTGGGGCTGGGGATTTAGCTCAGCAGCACAGTGCCTGCCTGGCAAGCACAAGGTCATGAGTTCAATTCCCGGTACCGGAGAAAAACCAAAAAAAAAAAAAAAAAAAAAAAAAGAAAGGAAGGTTTACTTTGGTTCACAGTTTTAGAGAGTTTAGTCATTGCATGGTCAGCCTGCTCCAAGGCAAAAATTGTATGGTAGAATGCTTTGGTGGCGGAAAGCTTTTCAACCTATGGCAGCCAGAAAACAGAGAGAGAAAAGAGGAGCTAGGGACAGGAATATACCCTTCTAGGTCATGCTTCCAGTGACTCACCTCTCCTGACCAAGCCCCACCTCCTAACACCATATTCAACTACAAACTCATCAGTGGGTTACTCCACTGATAAGGACAGTGTCCTCATGATCCCATCACCTTCCAAAAGTCCCACCTCTGAACACATGAAACCTTCAGAGGGCATTTTAGATCTAAGGTATAACAACAGCTAGAAGTCTGCCTTGAGTCTCACAGGAGACATTAGACTTCGACTATTAAGCAATGCTGGAATTGATGAGACTTTTGGGAAAAAATTACCACATTTTTTGTTGTATACAGGATAACTGTATTATGTTATATGAATAATTACACTTATTTGGAAATTAAGTATGGTCTAAGGAGATGTGATTAGGTGTCAAGTTGACAAGTGGCAGAGACTTGTGCCAATTAATTGTTAACTTGAGTGGATTAAGAGACTACTAGATAGGTGTCTGGATCATGGGGGCACTAGACTCATCAGTGGGTTAACCCACTGATGTTCACAGCTAATGCACTCTTAGGGGTAGAGTCCAGCTGGAGGAGATGGTTCGCTGGGAGTGTGCCATTGGACGGTGTATATCTTGCTGGTTCTCTTCCCCTATGATGTTTCCCACTTGCCATGAAGTGAGTAGCTTTGCTGTATCATGCCCCTCTACAATTATGTTTCTGGTTGCACTGACCATGGATTGAAACCTCTGAAGCTGTCAAGCAAATGAACTCCTTTTAATTTGTGGGTTTCAAGTATTTTGTCCCAGCAATGGGAATGCTGCACAATATAAAGTAGAATTTAGGTGACTCATTTTTTTTCCTGCTCTTTCCAAACTTTTCTTTTCTTGGTACCGGCAATTGAACTCAGGACCTCACGTTTGTCAGGCAGGCACTGTGCCACTGAGGTGAATCCCCAGCTCCAAACTTTTTAAAGTATGCATATTATTGTTTGATCAAAATAGTTTAAGTAGTTTAATAAAGCATCTATGCATGGTAGGATTCAATTTTTCCAAGAAGCTACAACTAATACAAAAGGCTTCTGCCTGATAAAACTACTGGATCTGCTGGGAACATAATACATTTATTTTCTAGTAATCAATTTCCTTTCTAGAGCAGTGTGAGATAACAGAAGCAACACCTCCTACACAAATCTTCCAATTTTTTGAGTTTTACTGTAGCAGATGAAACAGATTTTCTGTGCTTAGACCCCAAATTTGAGTACAGGAAGCCAATTATTTCCTCCCCAGAATCAATTTTCTTATGATTCACCCATGTCAAGGTTTGAGAATTAACACGATCAAGTGTAAGATAGTACAGTCTGGCAAGGCACATTGCTAAATGTCTTAGTTCCAAATTGTTTTGGAACAAAGTGCTAAATGTGCGAATCCAAGTGACCTTGGTACTTTACAATAAACAGAGCATCAGTTAACCCTAACAGTGTCATTTAAATCCACATATAGGTCAGTCAGCATGAAAAGACTACCTACACATGTAACAAACTATACATATCTCTAACCCCAGCCAGGGAAACAGTTCAACCCTTTAGCACTCTTAAGAGAAATACTGTCTTCTCAATGGTAGATTATAAATGTTGACTCTGTAGGCAAAGAGTAACATAATTCACTGTACATGCTGTGACAACTTTAAACATCTATGACATTATACAATGTAATAACCAAAGAAAATACAAAACTAGCTTAGCAATTAAAGCTGGTACCTTGTACACATTTGAAGTGGCTATTTATAGGAATAATATCTTGAACGTGTTCTTTCTCTTGCAGCTGGATTATTAACCTAGGAAACAGAAGAATTTATCAATGAATAGCCAGTGTAAAAATCCAAATCTTCCTAAATCTTTAGCAACAAAGTACTTTGCTGTCTTGCTGCATGATTTTAGTCTGTATTTATTAGAGTTGCTGCATCCAGTTTTGTGGATCTGTGCATCATGAGAGCTCTAGGGCTGTAAGACTGTTAGTGGTCATCAATATTAGAACACCACACTATTCTGTATGTCATGAAGAGTATGTGATACTCTGTGTCTTAAAAGTAGTATACAGACTTAAGAGCATGAACTATAGAGTTTATACCTTTAGAATATATGTTCCAGAGTAAAGGACTAACAGCTAGATGGGAACTCCATGACCACAAGGACCATAGCTGTCTTTTTTCATAGTATTTTTAGTACCTAGTAGAGATCCTGGCACATTACAGACACTCATGTGTGTTGAATCAATGAATTCAAAAATTTATACATTAGCTTTCCAAGTACATTCCCATAGCTTTTACCAGAGCAATTCTTTCTCTTCAAACAAGCATGCAGGTTCATGGAGCTGGAATAAGAGGGGATACTCAGCCACCTTGATATGTCAAAATAACCCCAGTGACCATAAGGTATCACAACTGGATTGCCTTCACATCCCTTGTGTTTGCTCTTTTGTTTTTCAACTTCATGCTGCTATATCATTAAGTACATAACTGAACTTGGCTTCCCAGTATGAAATGCAAGATTTCTAAATACATATCCATTTCTGGTATTTTCATTTTCATTTATTACTTATCCTTTCTTAGTAGCCTAGAATCAAAGTCTAACTTACTGGATAAACAGCCATTCCGAATATCAACTAGCTTTCCTAAAGTTAAGCACTCTTCTGGCAGTACTTTTTGCCTAGAATACTTCTTTCTTTTTCCTGAGACAAGCTCAAATATTACTTCCTCTGTGAAGCTTTCTCCATTATCCCCAAAGAGAACCACTAGCCTTATGCCCTTTGCTTGCCCCATAATAGAATACTTACACACTACAGTTTGGTTATATTTATTTCCCCACACTAATTTGAACTCTTTGAAAGCCAGGATCCTATCTTATTCAGTATTGTTTGCCACATAAAAGATGCTCAATAAATGTGGTTGGATAAGTGAACTAAATTAAGTTACAGGTAGAGGTGAACTTCTAAAATAACTATTCAACTTCCAACATTAAAAATATCATTGCTTTGAAGGGTCTGATTTCTTTTGTTTCCTTTATAAGGGGCTTGTTTTCACTTTTGGGTTTTTTTTTTTCCCAAATGTGTGAACTTTGGAGGGGATCTCTCCAGGGTAAGTTAGGCAGAACTAGGGAAATAAAAGTACTAATGCACAGATAACACTATAATGTCAAAATATGTGGAACAAAAATGGTGTTTATCATTAGCAGTAAAGCTTTAACTGAACTATATTGTTAAAAATCATTATAAGACAAACTGAGAATTTAAGTGAATTACACATTTATGCAGCATCTACTATATTAAACATTTTAAAAATTGAAAAGACTAATAAGAAACATAAAAATATCCAAACATAATTATTCATTTAAGAATTAAATGATTTAAAATAATAGGTATATGGCAATACAATGGAAATTCAACAGCTTATCTATTATAATAGATCATAATTTCTTATCCTTGAAAAAATAAATGTGTTTGATCCTGTTTCCAATAAAACTCAGTGTTAACTTTCGCTCAAGTAAATTTCCCCTACAGTTGATAGTAGGAACCACTGATGTAAACATTAAGAGAGAGTTCTAGGATAAAAAGTCCTGAAGTAAAAAAGTTTTGGACACCCAAGTCAGAGAAGGCATTCTAGAGAATAGAATCTAAGGATTACAGATAGCATTATGATTGTAGGTGTCTCTAGCAAGTGGCTGCAAAAGAAATTCCTCAATGTAATGCAGAAATACTGTGCATAAATTCAGATCTCAACTGTTTATTTCCCAAAAGTTAACAAGTGACTTAACCTCTGTGTCTCAGTCTCTTTGGTAAAATGGAGATGATTTTAATATTTTAAGGATTGAATAAATTAATAAAAACTGCTCAGAACAGCATCTGGCACATATCAAATGTGAGTGTGTTGTTACACCCTCTCAACGTATAGAACTGGAATATGAGAATTTGACCTCTGTGGGGAAGATACAAATAGTCATGAGAGCTACTCCTGCCAAGTTTTAAAGTTCTTCCAGTGCAAAGGCCCAGACAGGATGAGGCACTTATCACAAAGCTAGCTGCTTACTCCCTTATTAGCTGAACAGAGTTCCCCACCTATTAAACCAAGGGACTAGATCCTCAGCCAAGGTCTTCTCAACAATGTAGTTATTCTATTCATTTCTCAGAATGCTCTTTTTTTTTTTTGGTACCAGGAAGTGGACTCAGGACCTTGCACTTGCCAGGCAGGCGCTGTGCCGCTAAGCTATATCACCGGCCCCATAATTTTGTTTTTTACAGAAGAGGAAAGCAAGAAACAAATGCAAAAACTACTGGTTTGCCTCAGGGTCACCTATTTTCAGCCATTCTAACCTTTGGAAGTGGTGGTGGTGTTTCACTTTTCAATTCAGTTTTCTGTTGAATTTAATTTTATTAAACTGGTCTTCCAGGGTTTGATGAAATTTGAGAAAAACAGCACGAATTTCTCATATCAACTGAACTGACCAAACAAGACCTTGGAAAGAATTACTTTATTGCACTAGCTGATGTTGTTACACTGGCACCAATAGTCTCAGCTAAGTGGAAGCCAGGCTAGTGGGAATTTCTTCTGTGTAAATCGAGCAGCATAAACAGATTTCAAAGTAGAGCCTGAGAAAAGCTGTTTTTATGTAGAACCTAGTATTAGGAGATGGCAATGTTTAAGTGATCAACACTTTTTAAACTAGGAAAAAATTGTTCAGAAGGCAATGAACAACCAAGGGAAGTGGCCTGGGCATACAGGAATGGGAGCCCCTGATATATAATGGTCACTAGAGATACTTTTAAGATGAGGCATTAGAGGCAAAAGAGTGAGGTTAGCAGCTATGGTGACAGCTTATCAAAATAATCTTTTGCTCAATCAGTCAACAACATTTACTGAGCTCCTGTGTCCAAGGCAGAGTTGGAGGGGACACATGCTGATAAAATGCCAAATGCCATTTATATTTCTACCCATCTCATTTTCTTTCCAATAGTCAATTGAGGCTGAACTAATGACTATACCATCAAGCAAGTGGAATAGGGGGGTGGGGGACCTGGAGGAACCAGCTGAATGGGGCTAAGACAAGAAGTCTGCAACATTAATAATGAAGCACTACCACAACACTTTCACTTTTCGCAAACCACTTTTTGCGTTTATTATCATCCAATTACATATCCAAAGGCTATAAGGCAGTTAATGTTTTATTCAACTGATGAGGAAACCAAGACCCAGAGTCTTACTGACTTAACCCGAGGTTACACAACACATGTCAGTTGCAGAGGCAGGAACTAAGAACCCAGGCTTCCTACTTCCCTGCCCATTGAGTCCTTCCACTGAGCAATACAGCCAAGAGCAATCTACTGCCTTGGAAGTTGGGGGCAAAACCCTGTAGTTAGTGACCACTAGCACTGCACACCTGGGCATGAACCTGTTGCCCGCGTGGCCTCGGTGGGAGGGTAGGTGGTTCGTCGCGGTTAAGGCTGGGAGTTAATGGTGGGGTCCACACTTCCGTGGGAATCAGATGGTTACTTACTCATATTGTCCGTTCCTCTGGGCTAGGGTCAGGGCGCAGGGCTCCCGGAGGGGACCCTTCATCTCCAAACCCTCGACAGTATGCGGGCTCTGGTCAAGGGTCTCCTTTTCAGAAGCGTGGCCAGAGAGGGGTGACGCGGGCCGCCTCCCGGTGTCCCCAAGCATCGCTTCCCAAGCCGGCCCCTCCCCCGCTCTGCTCCGCCTCTGGGCCTCGCGGCGCCCCCGCCCCGCCGTATTCCGCAGTCTCCGGGACCCCCACCCGCGGCCCTGCGCGGCCTCCCCTCCCCCTTCGCACGAGCGGATACTGCAACGGGCTGAGCGCCGACTGGGAGCGGCGGCTCCATTCGGGTGGCCTCCAGGCTCAGCGGAGCTGCGGACTGCAGGCAAATCCGACGACAGTGTCTCCCGCCTCCTGCCACCCACCCGACCCAGCTGCGCGCTGTTTGAGAAACAGCTCGGCGCAAGGCGCTAGGAGCCAAAGAGCCGGGAGATGAGAGCCTGACCCGAGAGAGAGAGAGAGCGGCGCCAGTTTTCCAGGCCTCCAGTTTTCCAGGCCGCCGCAGATTCCGCCCTCTGCGGCCAACTTGGGGAACTGCAGCGAGAAACCTGTGACTGCGGGTGTCTCTATCCTGTCCAGCAAGGAATGCATTTTCTTTTTTCTTTTCTTTTCTTTTCTTTTCTTTTCTTTTCTTTTCTTTTCTTTTCTTTTCTTTTCTTTTCTTTTCTTTTCTTTTGTTCTTTGTAAATACTTCTTTTGTATTGACTGGTCTTTTGGCGTTCTTTTTTTTAAGAAACAGACATCCATTTACAAAATAGCATAAGAACAATGCAAGCAATACTGAATTACAGACAAAGCGGTAGGAAATTAACAATGGTTGTTGTATGACGTATTGATATCTTCAGAGTGGTTTCTCAGGAAAACAAATAGAGACATGCAAGATTGATCAAATAATTAATCATTAACTGTTCCTTTCAGTAAAGTGATAGAAGTCAGTAGTACAACTATGTTAGCTATCCTGTATATACATACATACATACTTTCCCCTTCTTTCCCTTCTCTTTGCCCTCATCCCAGTTGCTTTTTACTTTTGATCATTTTCCTTTCGTTTCACAATGTCTATCATGCCTCCTAATTTGTATTCACTCTTTCAGGTTCTTACACTAGTGAGACAATACATTGCTTACACATGGAGCTAAGGAATACATTTTAAATGCTACTTTGTGACGTAGCAAAGTTCCAGAATTCTTCGGACACTGACAGTTGCCACCGAAACAAAACACAGTCATACCTGTGAGGGAACTCAAACGTATTGGGCCAATAGAACTCACACCATCCAGTTAAAAGATCCTTATCAAGGTTAGGTTGCACCCTGTTGGTTATTTTCTCAGTGTTCTTCCTTTCCTTTTCCTTCCATACCTTACACTGGAAAATTTCCAAAAGCTCAGGCCTTTGCTCCTCCTTTACATTCCTTCCAGGTCACCTTTAAGTAAGCAAAGCCCAAATATATATTCCTGACACAGGCATCCTACCTCATATATTCTGTCAAAACTAAACTCATCATTTTACACAGCCACCCAGCCTTGAAACCTCAAAATCACATGTTTATTTCCCTCTACTAATCTCTGTATCCAATCAGTCAACAAGTCTTGTTAATATTCTCCTTGGAATAGCTTTTCAATTCTTTTTATTTCCCTTCACACTTCTACCACTTTATTGCAAGCCCTTGTGATGTCTTGAATTACCTACCCCCATCTCATTGTCTTTAATCTTTCCTCTGACTTTTTTTATTCTGTTGACAGACACAAAAAGTATTCTTCACAAAGTAATGTTTTAATTGTGTTATTCATTTGAGCCAGAATCTACACTGGTCTGGAAATCAGGACTGATTTTAAATCTATAAAAACAGCGTAGTGTAGTGTGGAGATAAGAGAAACCAATGGAACAGAACACAAAGCTTCAAAACACTCTTTTCCCCAGTACACATATTTGGAAACCTGATGTTCAGCATATATGACATTTCAAATCATTGAAAGGATGGGTTATTCAGTAAATGGTAATGGGACTATCGATTTTCCACACAGAAAATTATTAAATTAGATCCTTACCTCACACCATAGAGGGAAAATCAATTCTATGTGGATTAAAGATCTAAGTGAAAAGCAAAACATTTCAATTTCCAGAAGTAAATGAGAGAAGAGAAACCTGGGGTGTAGCTCAGTGATATAGCACATGTTTAGCATAAACAAGCACCAAAAAAGAAAAAAAGAATATTTGTATTATTTTGAAATAGGGAATAAGAATGATACCAAAAGTTACCTCAAATTTTGAAATGTATGTACTTCACAATATAAGCAAGTTAGAAGACAAGCCATAGAGTGGAAGAAGACTTTTTCACTGCATATACTGAACAAAGGATAATCTATGAAGTCCTATACTTCTAGCTGTCATTATCTTTCTGACTTCCTCTCCTACTGTTCTTTCCAACTTGCTCTGCTACATTTCACTGGCTTCTTGTTTTTCTTTGGATTTGTCAGATACAGTTTTGCCTCAGGCCCTTTGCACTTGCTGTTTACTTTGCCTGCACTCTCACCTCCTTCAGGTCTCTGCATAAATCTCACTTTGTCTGTGAGACCTACCTACGTTAGTTTATTTAAAATTTTAAGTCAGTAATTCCCTTTTTCACTCCCACATGCTCCTTATCCCTCTTTCCTGTTTATTTTTCTTCATAGGATTTATCACTATGGTCTGTCCTCTCTCTCTCTCTCTCTCTCTTTGAGACAGGGTCTCCCTGTGTAGTTCAGGCTGGTCTTGAGTTCACTATGTAGCCCAAGCTGGCCTGGAAATCATGGCTATCCTCCTGCCTCAGGCTGAGTGCTGGGATTACAGGCATGTGCCACCACAACTGGCTCAACTATGCTCTGTTCTGTCTCAAGCTTATTTGTGCTTTCCCTACTACAGTGTAAATTCCACGAGGGTAAGCATGTTATCTGTTTTGTTCAGTACTGTGTTCTTAGTGCCTAGAACCACTACTGGAACAAAGTAGATGTTAGAAAAATATTGATTAAAGGAATGACTGAATAAATTAATTAGTATCCAGGATGTGAAACAACTCCTATGAATAAGAAAAAGAAAGAAACCTAGTAGAAAAATTGACAAAATACATGAATAATCAATTTATAGCCAATGAAACTCAAAGGGTCAATAAAGACCTGCAAGGATGCCTAACTTTATTACTATTCAAGGAAATTAAAAAAAAAAAACCATGACATATTACTTCACAACCACTGGTTTGGCAAAAAATTTTTAAAGTCAGAGAATATCAAGTGTGTTGAGGATGTACAACAGATAGAACTCTGACCTACTGCAATAAGGAAGACAAGTTGGTAATATTGTTATGAAGGTCAGTTTGACAATGTCTAACAAAGTTGAGAATACAGGACCCTTCAACTCATAGATTCAGTACCTAGGTATAGACCCTTTGTATTAAAGAGATGAATAATGTCCATTGCCACATTATCTGTAATCTCAAAAGCTGGAAGCAAATTAAATGTCAGTTGGTAAGTGAATGCATAATCATAATATTCATTAAATTAAATATGGTACTGTTTTGTACTTCAAGTGAGGGCTGGGAGTATAGCTCAGCATTAGAGTGTTTGCATGGCATGCATGAGGCCCTGGATTTAATCTCCAGCACTATCAAAAAATGGAAAAAATAATTAAAAATGAATGAATTAGGGCTGTAGTGCATGGAATAGCAGTTAAATTGCATAAATATAATTACGAGCAAAAACAAATATAAAACATATACTGTCTTCACTTAAAGTCTGAAAATATCATCTGTAGTTCCTGATTACATACAGTAGACACGTAGAATACTATAGAAAACATTAAGGAGCACTAACAACAAATTTAAGAGAGGGAGAAGACTGAGACTAGAGAAGCATATACTACAGGAAATACTAACATGTTTAGAATGCTCATTCCTTTTAAAAACAACCTGGATGTTAATTTGCAAGACTTGGTAGAACTGGAAGGGGCTTGTATACTGGTTATTTTATTCCATATGCTTTTCTGCATTGGAAATCATTTGCAACGAGTGAAAATGAAACAAAATAATAATCTGTAAGGGAAGGTTAGCAGTGTCAAATGCTGAAAATAGGTCAAAGAAATTGAGGCTCAAAAGACTTTCTTTAGATTTGTGGAGGACAGGAGACTGCCAAATTGTGGTTTCAGTAAGTGCTCAGGAGAGGAACACGATTACAGGGAATGAGGCAGGCGCTATCATGAGGAGATGGAGGCGAGAAATCACATATTAAAGAAGTGATCTTTAATCAGACAAAGAGCAGCATGATACAATTTTAATTAAATTAGAAGGGTCAAGCAAAGGTTTCCCACAAAGCCTGAAGCTACTTTAAAGTAAGGTGAAGGGGCCAGGAGAGCGAATGGTTCAAGTTGCTAGAAGAGAGAGGTAGCAAAGTGCAAGCAAAACCCTTTAGTAATTGGGAAGAACAAGGAAGTGAAGGTGGAGAAAATTACCTTTAGAGAAAAGGCAAGATACTTTTTCCTCCAAGTGTGTGAAATCTCCAGCACCTATACATAGTGGCTGGCATATAATGGGTATTTTTTTACTTTTGTTTTTTTTGTACCAGGAATTGAATGCAGGACCTCGAGCTTGCCAGGCAGGCGCTTAGCCGCTGAGCTATATCCCTGGCCATTTTACTTTTTTTTTTTTTTTGGTTATAATAAAAGATTGTGTGGAAATAAACATATTGAGGTAAGGACAGTGAAAACTGAGATCTCTCAAACAGGAAATGATGATTGCACAAAAAAGACATCCAATGTGAAGAGTGAAATGATTAGCAAACAAAATGGAAATAAATGAAATTTTAGCTCCAAGAAAACACAAATCTTAACCACCTTCACCACCCCAATATGTGATTAAGTGGGTCCTCAGTGTCTTTCTTTTATTCACTGGACAACTATCACTAATATCTAGAAATTACAGGATTTTCAGAGATGAAATTAAAAATTGAGACTGTGGGCTGGGGATGTGCTTACGCACAAAGGCCCTAGATTTGATACCCAGAACTGCAAAACAAAACAGTACAACACAACACAACAGAATCCATACACACAAAAAGAATTGAGATGTGTTATGTACATGTATCAAGTCCCATGATGCATGTAATCATTATGTACTGCATACATATACTAATAATTTTTTAAAAGCAGAGAAAGGGGGGTGCTTTAAGGTCTCAAGGTTATAAAATACTAAAAGAAAATCCAAGTTTAAAACAGCAATTTAATTAAATGGCTACAAAATAGGATGTTATATCAAGTTCATCCATTGTTTATTTATTTACACCTTTATGTTTGTTTCTTTCTGCAGTGCTGAGGATTAAACGCAAGGCCTGAGACATACTAGGCAAGTGCTCCACTGCCGACCTAACCTCGAGTACTAAAACCTATTATATTTGAAAATAATTTTTATGCTGAACATTCCCACTTTCCATGTCTCCATAATTATTATGGAGAAATCACAGC